CCTACCTTTACGTCTAACCCCTAAACACCTATCCCTAGGTTGGGAAAGCCATTTTACAATATCAACCTCAAAAAATCTCACGTAAGGCTCTAGTTCCACCTACTAGTTTTACGTTAGGATCTAGCTTAGTCTTCTAGTTTTATAGAGTGTTACAAAAAGTCAAGAGCACCATAGCCAATACAAGTGGCTCTAGAACTAAGTTTACCGTAAATTTTTTGTATATTCCATACCTTGATTCAAAACTTCTCAGTGTTGATCAATTATTGGAGAATGGATTCAATATGTTCTTCAAAAACAAAACTTGTGTGATAGAAGGTCCATCAGGTGATGAAATATTCAAGGTCACAATGGACGGGAGGTGTTTCCCGCTGAATCCTTTGGGAGAAGAGCAGACATTTTTTCTTATGTCAGACAATTCTATAATAGTTTGGCATAAAAGAATGGGAAATTTTCATCATCAAGGTATGATATTCTTGCAAATAAAGGAACTATTGAATGATCTACCAAGACAGCAGAATCGGTGGATAGGTTGCCAAGCTTGTTTTCTTGGAAAAATGAACAGATTACCCTTTCCCTAAAAAATGGAGAGCGTCAAAAAGCTTCAACTCATTCATAGAGACTTGTGTGGGCCTCATAGAACACCATATTTAAATGATAGTATTTGATACATTGTATTTATTGATGATCTAACTAGAATGACCTGGATATTTTTCTTAAATTCAACTCTAAGGTAGCTGATGTGTTTTGGAACTTTAAGGCAAAGGTGGAAAATCAAAGTGGCTGCAAAATTCAGACTTTAAGGTCTAATAATGGAAAAGGAGTACATTTCAAATCAGTTCAAAATACTCTATGACAAAGCTAGTATAAAATACTCTATAATGGAGAGGACTAGGTGCATGTAGTATGAAAAATATCTTCCAAAAAGTTTATGGGCGGAGGCTACCAGCTTTACTGTTTTTTTTTTGCCAAACTGACTCTCTTCTAGATCTGTAAAGGATAAAACACCATATGAAGCATGGTATGGTCATAAACCCTTATTGCAATTTCTCAAAATTTTTGGTTGATTGTTTTTCCCTTATATACCACAAGTTGAAAGAGATAATCTTGATAAAAAGGCAGTTTCTGGCAACTTTATTGGCTACAGTTTCTTTATAGCATATAAGGTCTATGAACCTCAAACGGAGAAAATTGTTGTAAGTAGAGATCTCCACTTCATTGAGGAATAGCACAGAATTGTGAGAAGCCCAAAAACAATCCACCTGTTGACAGTCTATTAGATCCAAAAGATCTAGTAGATGATCCTCCTGTTAGAGGCATGCGTTTGATCTCTAATATCTATCAGAGATGTAATATCGCAATTTCTTAGATCGCAATATATGAGGAAGCAGAAGGGGATGACAAATGGGTGGAAGCAATGAAGGTGGAGATGATGATCGGAAAAAATAAAATATGGGTGCTTGTTAAGAAACCTCTACACAGAATGATCATTGGTGTAAAATGGGTCTTCAGGACAAAGCCAAATGTTTATGTTTCCATCAACAAACACAAAGCAAGGCTTGTAGTGAAAGGTTACACTCAGTAGTTTCGAATAGACTACTCAAAATATTTCGTACCAGTTGCTCGACTTGACACAATCAGATTGCTACTAGCCATTGCGGTGGAAAGAGGTAGAGTGATTATCAACTTGATGATAAGTCGGTCTTTCTCAATGGTCTTCTCCAACAGGAGATTTATGTTGAGCAACCGGATGACTTTGTCATCAAGGGGCAAGAAAATAAGGTTTATATGCTCAAGAAAGCTCTCTATGATTTAAAGCAAGCACCAAGAGCTTGGTATAGCAAGATTGCGCTAATCAGTCGTTATGTTATTTTTCTCAAAAATGTTTTTCCTTTTAACATTATGTTCCTAGACGTAAGAAAAAAATTTCTAGTTGAAGGAGAAATCCAATGTCAGTTACCACTCAAAATCCATGTCTTGATATGCCACCACCTATACTACTTTCTTTAGACTCCAATTTACCTAAATCATCAATCAACGATACTGCGGCTTATTTTACTTCAGGTGATTTTCCACTTTCTTCTCCTTCTTCTCGTCATCGTACCACCTCACATACACAACCTGCTTCTTCGATAACGTATTTAAACGTAAATCCAACACCAAACCCGACAACTCCATTTCTGGCCATCAATTAACCATTATCAACTTCTTCACTTCCTGGCAAAGAAAATCCCTCGACTCCATCATCTCCAACCCCTCCCAGAAAAACCCCTTTCATGCCAATTTTAGAGCCTATACCAATTCGAATAACCACTAGGTCCCAGATTAATATTATAAAGTATAAAAGAAAATAAAGTTTTTTCGATTCATTTCCCTCATACACCAACAACCTAAAATAGGCCACCATCCATGACAAATGGAGACAAGTTATGAAAGCAGAGTATGATGTTTTGATGGAAAATTGGACTTGTGAATTACTACCAAAGACTTAAGGAAGAATGTTGTGGATTGAAAATGGTTGTATCGCATTAAAAGAAAAGCATATGGATTTATAGATCGATACAAAGCTCGCTTTGGGGTTCACGTAACACCCTATATTGGATTTTCATCAAACCTTCAATATTATTATCAGGCCTAGGGCTGTTCAAAATTGAACCGAAATGGATAAGTTGAACCAATAAAAAAGTTATTGGTTTATAGTATTGGGTTATTGGTTTAGTAGTTTTGATAAGGATTTTGATTTTTTTTGTTATTGAGTTATCGATTCTTAACGGTTTGAAGTTTTTTCTTGACGGGTTAACCGATAACCCGTTACTAAATTAAATAATTATATTTATAGCATTTTGTATACAAAGTCCTCGACTTAGAGTTTGATTTCCTACTTTTATTTTTGGTTGTCTCAAACACTTGGTTATTCAACTATGTAAAAGTGTTTGCTTTTGACCAAGTTGTTACATGTGAACTTAAGTGCATGGTTTATTTGGTTTGTTACCTTGTTTCTAAGTGATTTTCAATGTTTTTTCTTTTGTGTCAAATCTTAACGGTTAAACCAATAACCAAATCGATAATGATGAAAAATTGATAAACCAATAACCGAAAAGTCAATATCTTAATGGTTCTATAACGGTTTAGCATCTCTACAAACCGATAACCAATAAGACAACTCGATAAACTTCAAAACTGAATCGAACCAACCGATACGCATCTCTAATCAAGCCCACAACAGTGTGACTTGTATTATTCATTGTAGTGCAGTACAATGAGCCAATTCATGAACTCTATGTTAACATTGCTTTCCTACAAGGTAAGTTATAAGTTAAGAGGTTTTTATGTCTCAACCTCAACGTTTTGTTAATTCGCAATTCCCTTCTCACGTTTGCAGATTAAAAGTCATTTATGGTCTTAAACAAGCCCCACGTGCTTGGTAGACTGCATTGTGAAATAATCTTCAGAAAATGGGAAATATCAAGTTTGAATTCGATGCTTCTTTGTTTATTTTGAAAAATTTGGCCGCAAATATTTATGTACTCATCTATGTTGATTACATTTTGATCACAGGAAGTCATCCCATCTTGATTAGATATGTTATTGATTCCTTGGGTTCTCAATTTTCTTTGAAGTATCTTGCTTACTTGGAGTACTTTTTGGATATCGAAGTTAAAAAAGTGCAAGATGGTCTTATTCTCTCTCAATCCAAATACATTCTTAGCATTTTGTCTGAATTTAGTATGAAAAATTGTAAATTTGTCTTGACACCAATGTGCTCTGGTAAGCTACCTCGGGCAACTGATGGTTCTCCACCTGCTAAAGCTTACATTCTACAAGCTCACCCTTGGTAAGTTACAATATTTATCATTCACACAAACAAGTATTTTATGCATGAAGCCACTATTGAATACTAGATAGCGGTTAAAAGGATAATACGGTATCTTAATGCCAGGATAACTTCAGGTCTTTGAATTTTTCAAAACTCGGGGTATGATCTTTACATGTACATGGATGTTGATTATACCAAAGTGAATGACAAAATATCCACACCATGATATGTTGTTTCCTTTGGGCCCAATCCAGTGTATTATCGTCAAAAATCAACAAGTTGTAGCTCGCTCATCCACTGAAGAAGAATACAAATCAATTGCAAAAGTGTTTTATAAGCTCAACTTACTCAATGAATTGTTTGGCAATTAAAAAATACTTTCTCAGTCTACAATTGTTTGGCAAATATTCTAAAAGTAAATGTCCAAAATTAATTGTTAATTAGATAATCAACAAATAATCAATCACAAATTTGTCCTTAATGATGGTGTAACTCAATTAAAAAGTTATGTAGACTTCTGAATATTCTATAGTAAAGTTATATTAATCAAATTACACTAATCAAATTACACCTTGTAAATTTTCCTTTATAAAAAACTGTTGTGGACAAAGAGAGTAGTTAATTAAAAATGAGTCCTTCAAATCTTAAAAATTTAATAAAAATGACAAATAATATTAATTAAATAAAAATATGTTTACTCTATACTTTTCGGCAACTTCTTCAGTTGTCCCGATGTTATTAATTTAATACTTTTATTAATAAGAATATTTATCCAGTAACAGCTGATTAATCAAACTTGAACTCAATATTTTTTTGAAAATACAAGCATCACTTGCACTTTAACTATCCATGTTTGACAAAAATGTATAGTATTTTCACATTTTAATACTTCATACGTGTATTTGACTGATCCAAAAAAACCATACAACATTAATAACCATCATGACATCTAAGTAGTTGAGCCTATTTTGTGCTTAACACTGATCATTAAATCTGTTAACCACTAGTAATCACAACTTAAGCTATGTTATTTAGCTACAAACCACTATCAAACATACATGGAATGAAATATCATATAAGCCAGCTAAGCTTATACATCATAATACTATAAATATAATAGAAAAAATAATTCCAAAACTAACTAATATAATAAAAAAAATAGACTTAAACATTGAGAATAGAATAAGCGATCAGAACCTGTCGAGATTCACTCTTAACATCACACAATTGAGTTGTCAGTGGATTGACAGACTAATGAAATTATATCATCACTTCGCTTTATAAATTATCACACAAAAAATAAGATTGTGCTGAAATTTACTTCACACAAATAGAGAATTGTCGGCAAGGTGGATTTACACCATTACAGACCAATCCCGGTACCAAATAAATATTTGGATTCAAAGAGAGTCATCACATAGGAGCGAAAGACTAAAACAAAAACAAATTAATCACAAATAACTTCATGTGAACTGTGCTTCTAATCATCATAAGACTCAGATCAGAAAATAAATAAAGAATAGCCTCAGAAGGAAGGCAGTAGTATAGTCGTAATCATCATTTTGATCATTAGCGCAAAACTACATCATCATCGGCCCAAAAAAAACAAATTATAAGAAACGGCTGCCATATCTAATCAAATAATCGGCGAGACAAGTAGAGAAAACCTAGTACCCATTGGGGTATAATGTGAGCAATGAAAGAACTCATTTATATAAGGAGTAATAGAGGCTAGGATTTTATGGAAGTCGAGATTGTGGCTAAGAGGACAGCCCAACATGACTACTAAGATCAAAGCCCATTAAAAAAGTATGACCCAACCACTAATAACTTAACATAAATTTACTATACTAGATAACTGAAGGCACATGATATAATTAAGGGAAAATTGTATATAATAGCAAACTAATAACCTAAAATAAATGGAGTGGCTAGGGTTTGATTTAATTGTGCTCCATAGCAAGCGTTAGCTAAAGTTTGTCAGGCGTCTCTCTCTCCAAAATCTCACTCGCCACTCTCCATTCTCGCTCGCCTCTCTCGCTTTATACACAGAAGTGTATAAATTTTGTTTATGTTTTGTATAAAGCGAGAGAAAATTGTATATACACATGCAAAAATATATATCTTCGTGTTATACACTTAATTATACAATTTACAAATATTTTACTTCAAATATTGCAGAGAAAAAGGCCAACAAATTATACAATTGCGAATTATACAATTGCAGTGAAATACAATTTTCTCTAGCTTTATACAACAGAAGTGTATGTATATTGTGTTTCTGTTTTTGTATAAAGCAAGAGAAAAACATATATCTTCTTGTTATATGATACGCTCAAACTTACTTCTCAAATGAGAAGTAAAGCGGTCGCGTCAAGTAAATAACTCAACTAGTGAGGTTGGGATCGTTCCCACGAGGAAAATAGTCTAGACTTAACTCCAACTTGTTATTACTATTGTTCGGTTGATGACTTCCTTAAAAAGTAAACG